TTATGGTGCATCTTTGCTCATTGCATCAGTCCACTTTTCACACCAATGAAAGAAGGTCTTTAGAGATTGTTTCTGAAATTAATCCCTGTTTAATGCACTTATATCATTTGCAAGGGAACTAATCCACAACCTTTAAATCCAAAAAGTTAGGTTTTACCAAAGTGGTTCCCACTAACTTTAACAAAGTTAGATTCTATGTGGGTCTCATAGGTTAAGTTTGTCCTGGAATTCTCCTATTGGAGTGAAAACAAGAGAAGGACTCACTCTTAAGGGGATCATACAATGCTCTACAAAGTATCATGGTAATAATATGCATTCAACCATAATGGGTGTGGAAAGCAACTTAAGTCTCTTCATGGGCTAAGTATTTATGGCTCATGTGGCGATTTCACAAACCACAAACATAAATAAAATCACATACTACTAACAAAATCAACAATGCATTGGAAGCCTAGGCCCAATAAGGTTATACTATAGCATTACAAGGTAGGAATTCACAAGATTAAATCATTAGAACTCTACAAGGCACCTCACAAAGCTTGATTAATGATGCAATCTTGCGAGGCAGTTCGTGAGACAGTATCTTGAGCTTGCTCAAGAATTTATGAGATTGAGTCAATTTGGTTTCACTTACATATCACATTGTTGTGCCACAAGGCTATTATTCATAATGAGTTTTGTCATGTATATATATATATATATATATATCACCATCTTACACCTAGAATCCTAAAATTAGTTTCCCAAAGGTCTCTAATTATTTTGGAATGTTAATCTCCTAATTTAGCCAAGAATCCCAACAACACAACTACTAGTCCAACTAGGTAAGTTGCTAGTCAAACTTACATTGTTGGAATGCAATAAAGACATTCAAGTATTTATCTATTTTACTTTGTTGGGATCTTTCTTGTATGGCATGGAACCCACCAAACTCCCAAGTTTGCACCACATGGGTTCAGCCCATATATAGAGACACATGTGCTGAACTCACTAAGTGATGCTTAGTAAACCACTCCCAACATAATTAGGCTTAAATTCAACCCAACACTTTATTACAAATGGGGTTTGAGTTTTAAGAATCTTATGAACCCAAATCCAATGGTTTAACATGAGAAATAATTCCATTAGGTTTCAACTCAAAAAGACTTTTGCTCTTAACTTCTCAGCCTATAATATTCATATATTGTTCATAGGAAAGGGCCTAATCCTTAACCATAAGATGTAATGTTATGTTCTTTCCTTATATGGATCCTATGATTAAAACCTTTTGTTTTTACAAACACTTTCATAAAATTAGTAATTAAGCATGTGTGTTGCATGTATGAATTTTTTTTCATATTAATTACTTGAATTTTAGATATATCATAGTTAAGATAGAAATTGTAAATTAATAAAAGTAACAATATGATTAAAAGTAAACTTAAATACTTGTACTAAATGTGCACATGTAAAAATTTTAAATTACCATAACAATTACTACTACTACAACTACTACTAAATTTTGTATTCCATTTATGTTTTAAATAAAAATAATTTTTATTTTAACAATTATTTTTATTTAATATGATGACTACATAACATTAGAAATGCTTCAAAATATCTTTGACAAAACTCTGTACTTTTTTTAAAATTTTTTGTGTTCTATCTTTTTTTTTTTAAATATTTATTATTCAATTATGTCATCATGAATTTCTTTGAAAAGTTGGATCATTGACTCACCATTTAAATAACGAAATATCATTGCTTTTAGATCAGTTCAGTTTTAAATTATATATTTCATCAACATTATATAAATAATTTTTACTTATCACACTTAATTTTTGTTTGACATAATTAATATATAATTTTTATATATTCTTTTGACTATATTATATCTTATGTGTAATATTTATTTTTGTGATTCTTTGTATTTTCTATTTTTAAAAATTTTATTATTAATTCTAGGTTGATTTTAATTTGGCATTCCGTTTTCATAATTTATAAAAATACTTCTTACATTTCATGCTTAATTTTTGTTTAGTATAATGAATATACAATATTAATGGCATGCCCAGTTCTTTTTATTTGTTTTCAAATTATTTTTGAAAATATTTATTTTTATATTTTAAAATTAATATTTTGGATTTAATTAGTATAATTTCATGATGAGAAAAATATATCTTAAATATAGGATTTAATAAGAGAATATACCTTACATATGAGATTTAATGTGAGATAATAGGAAAATAGTTTTACTTTCAAATTCCAATTGGTTTTAAATTTTACATTCCATTTCCATCATTAATAAAAACATTTCTTATTTATCATCAATGTTTTTAACTTGTTGTTGACTTGGTTGATTGAATCGTTTAAACCCTCACTCGGCCTTGATTCTAGGTCTGGTTCTGTTGAAACTCCCCTTTTCAATTAAAAGTTGTCTAACTCGGGCGGTTTAACCATTGACCCGTTCGACCTAGTAAGTAGGTCATAGGTTGCACATTTAATTTTGTGCAAACTTTTGGAAGCCATAACTTTGCACTTTGATGTTTGATTGGGGTTACCTTTTTTATTATATTTTGAATAACTTTTCAAGATCTATACATCCCAAGCGCCTTAGGCGTTTTGCCTTGCTATTTTTGCGAAAACCCCTTTTTTGGCCCCAAATTGCAATTTTTAATATTTTTTTATAAACAAAAATTAAAAACTGAATTAAAAAACATAAATAAACGTAACATAATACATATATTATATGTAATTAATATATGTAAAACATAATTATATTATTTATTGATAAAATATGTATTTTTACACACATACATATAGTGTTGACACAGAGCGGTTTGACTCGTTTGACCTTGACAGTCGAACCTGTGACCTATGACCCGAAGGCAAAAATGGGTTGGCTTTTGGGTTGGTTTTTAAAACATTACTTATCATACTTATTATTATTTAATATGTCAAATATATGATGCTAAAAATGTTCCCAACTTTTTTAATTTTTATATTTTGTGCATTTTATATATTTTTGAATTTTATTGTTTAATTGTGGCAACATAGATTAACTCATTTGACCCAAATGGTTTAATTTCTTACCACCGCCAAGATGAAAATACTATTTTTTTAGGTAGATTTTAAAAGTATAAGTTTTTATGTTATTGAAATTATTAATTTATTATGTATGGGTTTAATTATAGAATTTAATGATGAGAAGAAACAAACAAGCCTTAAATATATGATTCAATGAAGCTGAAAATTAATACCTTAAATATTGGATTTAATGTGAGAGAATTGAATGCATTGAATATCTTAAAATTATCTCTTTTCATCTCATTTAATATCAATAACCAATTACCCTATTTACCCTCATTTTTATAAATAAATTTAAATATAGAGGGGTAAAATTTGTCGTCAAAAAAATCCAACAATATTCTTGTGGCCATTCGTGCTTTTTAAAGTAGTATAGATAAACTATTTATAAATACAAATGCATTTTACAAGTTGTCTTCAAAACGAATTGAAATCTATTACTATCAGTTTTAGGTTTCCATCAGAGAAAATAATAGTTGATTCTATCACAATGGTTACCCACTCAAATAATATTCTAAATTGCTACAATACATCCAAATATTTGACCCTTAGATGATCTCCCTAGTTGGTATATCGAAAGTGGCATAATCCAACACTTAGTATGGTATCATTATCAAGTTAGGGATTAAGTGCTACTTTCTAGTTTTGCCTATGTCTCCAAGGTATAGGGTATAACTGGAAATGATCACTGTTTAGCGTTCCATCAAATACCCACTCATTATACCTTATGTTTAACCCTAGCAGTTGAAACAAACAGTTCCACCAATTCGGTAGTACAATAGTGTCGGTTTTAACAAAATAAACTCCCCAAACTTATCAAATAAATGAAAGCATTCTAAACTAATAAGTCTCCCAAATGTCCAATTTAAGGGATAGATAAGTGAAACATTTCAAAGTATAATATCACATTACATCAATCAGCCAAATTGGTGTTGATGACATACACTGTCTAACAAACATGCGGTCCCTAAATTTACACGAGACCCATGGGGAACCAATCCGAACCCATGCTCTCCATCCAGCGGGGCCAGCACTACCATAGCACCATGCAATGTGATCCTTCCCTCCAAAGCTCAATAACTCGAATGAACATCAAATCTTGTTTCAGTTAGGCGTTCCGGATCTAACACGTGTTATTCTAACTAGGATTAGGATTGGCTGCATGCCATAATCAATGATAACATAACACCTCACATCACCCATGAATCATAACCACTCAATCTCCCACTTTGGGGAGATCACATCTCCGCCCCACAACACATTCACGCCGTGTATTGAGAACATCTGTATCAGAATCAATGATGCCATCATCATCACCATGAGATATTCTCAATACACGGCGGAGATGTTAACTCCACTTTGGGTGCAATTTTGTTATGGGGGGCATTATCATTGGTTACACAGCCTCCAAACAGCAATCACGTCCATCTAATAATAATTTTCAATATGCATGAAAATGTAGAGAAAGTGACGAAGGAAAATGTGCAAAAGATCCGGACAGATTCGGAGTTTGGGTTTCCTGCAATCACTACTATAATCTTGCCGATCAGCAGATGAAGCATGCGGTCATCTTTATGAGGTGACTTGGGCTGTCCAGTTGCTTTGGACAATCGGATCCGGATACGCCGGAGGGGACGAGACACTTGACACTAGTTTGATAGTCCGTGCAAGTCGGTATTCGTTATGGACTTCAGACTTGGCTATAAAAGCGAAGGTGGTTTTTGAAGAGAGCATGTGCAGAAAAAAATAACAGAAAAGTTGCAGAAAGGAGGAAGAGAAATTTTGTTATAATCATATGGAGATCAAGAGCGGTGTTCAAGTGAAGGGTGAGCTTTGAATAGGACTGTGTTGAAGCTCTTATTGTTTAGAGAGGGAGAGAAAGAGAGAGCTCTTTTCTTCACAATCTCTGGTGTTGGTTTCCCTTGTCTGTAGCCATGGCTGGCAACAAGAGTATTTCTCTTGAAGAAATCAAGAACGAGAATGTTGATCTTGTAAGAATTTCTCTTTTATGTTCATCTTGCTATATTCTCTCTATATTGAGTTTTTATAGATACTTACAAAATTCAGCAATGACTCTGGCTTCATCTTGTTAATTCACTCCAAGTTCTATCATTTATTTTAGATACTTGTTTCTCTAAGCTTTCAGTATTAAGATGATTAATATTTTATGTATAGGAACGGATCCCTGTGCAAGAAGTATTTGAACAGCTAAAATGTACAAAAGAAGGTTTGACAACAGAGGAAGGGGAGCAGAGGCTCCAAATATTTGGCCCCAACAAACTAGAAGAGAAAAAGGCATTTCTTTTCCCAACTCATCTTCATATTAGTTGAAAATTCCCTTGGTATTTGGTTTTGTTAAAAGTTTGCATGATATCAATTGTGAAAAATAAACACTGAAACAGGAGAGCAAGATTCTCAAGTTTTTGGGTTTTATGTGGAATCCTCTTTCATGGGTAATGGAAATTGCTGCTATTATGGCCATAGCATTGGCTAATGGAGGGGTATCTCTCTCTCTCTCTCTCTGTGTGTGTGTGTGTGTGTGTCCCATTTACTAAAGGAAAAAATTGGAACAAACACAGGGCAAGCCCCCAGATTACCAAGACTTCGTGGGTATTGTGGTACTTCTTTTCATCAACTCAACCATAAGCTTCATTGAAGAGAACAATGCTGGAAATGCAGCTGCTGCTCTCATGGCAGGTCTTGCACCCAAGACTAAGGTAGGCCTTTTTCTCTGTTTTGGGAGGGGGTGTTAAATGATGCCTCTTACTCAGGTTCTGAAAGTAATTACCCATTAATGAATGAAGGTGCTAAGGGATGGGAGATGGACCGAGCAGGAGGCAGCTATCCTAGTACCAGGTGATGTTATAAGCATCAAACTAGGAGATATAGTCCCTGCAGATGCCCGCCTTCTTGAGGGAGATCCACTCAAGATTGACCAGTCGGCTCTCACTGGTGAATCCCTACCTGTAACCAAGAATCCTGGTGATGAGGTCTTCTCTGGCTCAACATGTAAGCAAGGTGAGATTGAAGCTGTTGTTATTGCAACCGGAGTCCACACCTTCTTTGGCAAGGCTGCTCATCTTGTTGATAGCACCAACCAAGTTGGTCACTTCCAAAAGGTATGGTAATAAACAAATGGATAGAAAAACTTAGCTCCTTGAGGCTGTTGGAAATGCTTGTCAGTGGAATTCTTTGGGAAGTCATTGAAAGAGCAAAGATATAATCCAGATCTCCTACACTTAAGTTGAATTCACATGCACGTCCCACAGCACATCCCAACTGTGTATTCAGAACATCTTCCAATGACAAGTATGGGAGATCTTCCAAATGCACGCTGAGATGTGCATGTGGGGTGCCAATGTGAACTCACTTATGCCTTTATACTAAGGCGAACACTAACCAATGAAAATTCGTCAAAATTTCAAGGGGGCAGTTTTGATTGGTCAAACTGTCATTGCTTAGGCTCAGCTTGGAAAGAGTACAAATACAAACATGTTCAGTGCAAAACCTTGTGTTTTTGTATTATTTTTGTATGTATTTGCGCTGTACATATTTGTATTTATACTCCTTCCAAACTGAGCATGTACCCCTTCGCATAAAGGTGTAAGTTTAGGAGATCGGAGCTGATAAAATAAACTTGCTTGCACCTATCTAATTGGCTGAAAAAATTTGGCTGTCTACATTAAGAAGCCTGTACTGTCCATGTGTGTTCTCCCTACATGACATGTTAATCCATATATGAACTCCATGCAAGAGTAACAGTACTGATGTGTGGCTTGGAGAGAGCTCATGGACTGCCAAAATTTTGTCCTAATTTGAATTCACATGTGATGACTGATTGATGGTTGACAATGATCAACATTGTTCAGGTTTTGACAGCCATTGGAAACTTCTGTATATGTTCGATTGCATTGGGGATGTTGGTGGAGATAATTGTGATGTACCCCATCCAACGCCGAAAGTACAGGGATGGCATTGATAATCTTTTGGTGCTACTGATTGGTGGGATTCCAATTGCCATGCCAACTGTGTTATCAGTGACTATGGCAATTGGGTCCCATCGGCTTTCTGAACAAGGTGCCATTACAAAGAGGATGACTGCCATTGAGGAGATGGCTGGAATGGATGTCCTTTGCAGTGACAAGACAGGGACTCTCACTCTCAACAAGCTTACTGTCGATAAGAACTTGATTGAGGTGGGTATTGAAAGGGATTAAACCTGAAATTCCATTCATGGTTGATGACTGCTTTTTAGAATCTTCTGATTGTGTGCAAACATTGTTTGATCACAGGTCTTTGTGAAGAACATGGACAAAGACACTGTGGTCTTGATTGCTGCTAGAGCTTCCAGAGTTGAAAATCAGGATGCTATTGATGCTTCAATTGTGGGGATGTTAGCTGACCCCAAGGAGGTAAGGAACCATTTGTTTCTTTGCCTTATTTTATGAAAATGGCAGCAAAAATTCAAGAGAATTTAGGCTGAATAAGGAAGTAATTTTTGGTACCTCATTGACCAGAATTCTTTGTATAAGAAATTTACTTGTAAGACTGTTTTTATCTATAGAAATTCTGTGTCAATTAACCAAATAATAAAATCAAGAGACAAGTAGGAAACTATCCAAAAAATAATATGATTTGCCCTGGAATTCAAACTTTCCTCTGATCGCTCCCAAAACTGACTGTACTCTTGCTCTATGGCACATTTGTAAACGTAGTTTTGTCTTTTCATTGTTTCAACTTCTTCCATGCAGGCAAGAGCAGGAATAAAAGAGATACATTTCCTTCCCTTTAACCCTGTTGAGAAGCGAACTGCCATAACTTATATTGACTCTGATGGCAATTGGCATAGAGCTAGCAAGGGTGCACCAGAACAGGTAAATTCTAACTAGCAATCTCTCTCTCTCTCTCTCTCTAAGATAAAACAACTAAACATATTATGTTGTATTGCAAGATTATTGATCTTTGCAACCTCAACAACGAAGCAAAAAACAAAGTACATTCTATGATTGACAAATTTGCAGACCGGGGCCTTCGTTCTTTGGGTGTTGCCCAACAGGTGAAATAATGGAACAAACTTTGTTTATGCTAATATATTTACCAAATGCTCAAAATTGAATTGGATTAGATGGTTTACTTCTTGGACAGATGGTACCAGAAAAATCCAAGGAAAGTGCAGGAGCTCCATGGCAGTTTGTGGGTCTATTACCTCTTTTTGATCCTCCAAGGCATGATAGTGCAGAAACCATTCGCCGAGCTCTCAATCTTGGTGTCAACGTTAAGATGATCACTGGTGATCAGCTTGCCATTGCCAAGGAGACTGGGCGTAGGCTTGGCATGGGTACCAACATGTATCCTTCTTCCTCTCTTCTAGGCCAGAGTAAGGATGACTCCATTGCAACAATGCCTGTTGATGAGCTCATTGAGAAGGCTGATGGCTTTGCTGGTGTTTTCCCTGGTAATTAAACTAAATAAACTAAACAAAATTGAACATTCCTTGTTTAACCCATTAAGTTGACTTTTTTCTATAATGGTGGATGATGTAGAGCATAAATACGAGATTGTGAAGAAACTGCAAGAGAGAAAGCATATATGTGGAATGACTGGAGATGGTGTGAATGATGCTCCTGCTCTGAAGAAGGCAGACATAGGTATTGCTGTAGCAGATGCAACAGATGCAGCCAGAAGTGCTTCAGACATAGTGTTGACAGAGCCTGGACTCAGTGTAATTATAAGTGCAGTTTTAACCAGCAGAGCCATCTTCCAGAGAATGAAGAACTATACAATCTATGCTGTGTCTATTACAATCCGTATTGTGCTGGGGTTCATGCTCATTGCTCTTATTTGGAAGTTTGATTTCTCTCCCTTCATGGTCCTGATCATTGCTATCCTCAATGATGGAACCATCATGACCATATCCAAGGATAGGGTCAAGCCATCTCCTGTGCCTGATTCATGGAAACTCCAAGAGATCTTTGCCACTGGTGTTGTCCTTGGCACCTACCTCGCCATGATGACAGTCATCTTTTTCTACATTGCGCATGACACCGACTTTTTCTCAGTAAGAAAGCATATATCCTTCACTTCTAACTCTGTTCCTTCATTACTTTCTACCCGAATCAATTTTTTAATGCTTCCACAAACATTGGTAGGATCACTTTGGTGTCAGATCCATCAGGAACAACGAAGATGAGCTCACTGCGGCTGTCTACCTCCAAGTGAGTATTGTGAGTCAGGCACTCATCTTTGTCACACGTTCAAGGAGCTGGTCTTTTGTCGAACGCCCTGGCCTTTTGCTCGTTAGTGCCTTTCTTGCTGCTCAACTGGTGAGTGTACAGTGTACTAGCCCAAAATTTCAAATTGTTACTGGTGCTTCATCCACACTTTCTTTCAAGTGTCTAATGCAATTGGCTAATCTGATAACTATTCATTTCAGCTGGCTACATTGATTGCTGTGTATGCCAAATGGGGATTTGCTAGAATCCAAGGTATCGGATGGGGATGGGCTGGAGTGATCTGGGTCTACAGCATTATTTTCTACTTCCCTCTTGATCCGCTTAAGTTCATCATCCGCTTTGCTTTGAGTGGCAAGGCTTGGGACAATCTACTTGAGAATAAGGTTAGGGATCATTTTTGTAATTTTTTTAATATTATCAGATGGAACTCTGGTTATAATTTTCTTTTGTTTTTTACAGACTGCTTTTACAACAAAGAAGGATTATGGTAGAGAAGAGAGAGAGGCACAATGGGCTTTGGCTCAACGTACTTTGCATGGCCTGCAGCCTCCAGATTTATCTGGGCTCTTGAATGATAAGAACAGTTACAGAGAGTTGTCAGAGATTGCAGAGCAAGCTAAGAGGCGTGCTGAGATTGCAAGGTATTAATGTGGACTTAGTGGTCCACCTTCAAATATTGTGCTTATATTTACTTCTGTGTCTGTCTATATTTATGTATAGATCTTGTACCAAAAACATATGTTTTCATGTTTTCAGGCTAAGGGAGCTCAATACACTCAAGGGGCATGTTGAGTCTGTGGTAAAGCTCAAGGGACTAGATATTGATACCATTCAACAGAACTACACTGTTTGAAAGAGAAGAATGGTGTGGAATTGAGTGTCTAGCTAGGCGAGAAAGTTGGAGAGAGAGAGAGAGATGGGTTGAAGTTAATTTTTTTCCTTGTTTTTCTTTGATTTTTCGCTTTCATTCTTGGAGGATGGAAGCATTTGGAAACATTATAAGAAGAAAAAGGGAGCTTTCCCAGGGTGTGATGTGTGGTTGGAATAAAGTTGTACTCCCAATAGGAAGAACTGTATTGAAAAGAGGATTTTTTAATATGAAATATTAATTCGTTCCCTTTTTTATTGTCCAATAATTGATTTTTTTTTTCATTTTTGGTTGCTGAAATATTAAAAGACACTAAAAAAAGCTCATCAACAGTCATAATCAATGGAACAAGTAATTAAAAAAAACTGTGTTCTTAAAGCTAATTCTTGGCAATAAATGCATAGTGAAAAGTTTCAGGCAACAATTGATTGCTACCAGTTCCTTTTACAACCACTGACTAAGCCATTTGGAAAAATAAGTTTTTTTCCCACAACAATTGGCCTATATCATTGCTTAAAAGAATTATTTGCAATAATTTTATTGCCTATCAACTATAAATGCCATAGAAAACAATTTTACTTGTTACTGCCAACAACTGAACCATTGTTTCTTTTAATTACTTCAGGCAACAATCCCATCACACTTTTATCAAATAAGCGACAATTGAACAATTGTTACCAAACATCAGCAAATAATAGTTCCTGATATTTGACAATAATTTCAAACTGTTATCAATAATCACTTGATTGTTGTCAATAATATACTAAACTGTAGCAAATAATTTATCATCAATTGTCAATAGCCATTACATTGTAACTAAAAATGAATCAACTATCACTAATATCTATGCTATATATAAAAGTGTGGATGTAGGGTGGAAGTTTTTTTTGGACTAAAGTTACCCTCTATTTCTTTGTTTGAGGAAGGGTATAAAAGTCATTTTATACAACTTTAATGCCAGCTTTAGTGGCTACTAAAATGCCCACATTTGTTTATTTAGTCCATCTATAATTGGAGGGGTTGAAAATGTAACTTCAATTATTACTATGTAATCCCTACCGTTAAGTCTTATACTTAAGGTGTTAACTCTCATTTTTTCTTATTAAATCCTATATTTAAGTTATTTTTCACTAATAAATGCTACTAATTAGATCTATGTCAATATTTTTAATAATATACACTCATATATTTTAAAACTAACTAAAAAACAAAGCCATTCTTTATCCAAGTGGTGGCTTAACAATTCAAACATCCAAATCAACTTGATTAACCTATGAGGTCATAGTTAGGTAATAAAAATTTTAAAATAGAAAATTACAAAAAATGTAAAAAAATACATTTATGATATTTTTATTAATCAAATTAAAAAAAATATAAGTGTAATAAACAATAATTATTTTTGTTGATAATGAAAATGAAATACATAATTTAGAACTGACAAAAAATGAAATTATTTTATTACTTGGAAAAGATCAATAATTCAACTTTTGGGTCAAATGTGTTAACAGTTAATGCCATAAAGAAATAATGAAGTATAAATATACATAAATTTTGCAAAAAAAAAAAACATTCATGCACATGTATAATATCATACAATTATCATATTAAACAAAAGGTAAGTGTCACATATTAGAATTACTTTTGCACACAAAAATACAAAGAAAAAGAAAAATTTGAATGCATCCTATAATTATATATTTACACTACTATTAAAAATATTAATATTGTGAAACTTTCTTTTGACTAAAATACTCAATTTTTAATTTAGTTCTTATTTAATTATGAGGTTTAAATTGTAAATTGAACTACTACTTTTCACCTCATTCAATTCCCTCTATTTAAATCTTATATTTCTTTGATAAATAAACAAAAAAAGATAAAACATTACAGAAAGAAGAATCTAGTCAAGTAGGTAATCCTATCGATGATACTTGAAACTTCAAAACTTGACCCAATTATCACATATTTGGATGAGGTGCTCATGTAAGATTTGGATTTTGCAATTTGCATTCGATTAATAATAAAAAACAAAAAAAAATTACATATTTATAGAAAAAGTTTGATACATTATTTCTATCATTATCATCATTTAGAAATGCCATGTGCAAAAGCACATGCACACTTACTAGTTTATTTAATCATATCTAGGGTTGTAATCAAATCGGATTTGGATTGAATTCAACAAAATCCTACTTTGATCTGATTATGGAAATCTTGCATCCAAAACCATCCAAAATCCATTTGGATTTGAATTTGAATCCTAATGGACTCAAATTGAATTTGGATTGAATCCAACTTTGCTTCAAATTTTTAAATACAGAACAATTAAAAATTTAATTACTTTTCAACTTTTATATATAATAAATTAATACATACTGAATTTATTATATATATAAATTCATATATAATATAATATATACAAATGCTTTTTTATATTTCTGAAAATAATTATACAAATTTTATATATTAAAATTAATAAATTTTATAATATAACAAGATCCGGATTTTAGTCATATCAGATGAAGTCAAATTCGAATTCAATCTGATTATTAATTGGATGTATATTACAAAATCTGAATTTGATCTAATTACATAAATACATCATCTGAATCCAAGATAATTGGATCGGGCTGCGGATTTTTAAGTATCATTGATAGGCCTAATCATAGCCAAATTTTGCTAAGAGTTTAATATATTATTATTACCAATAGTTTGTTGACGATTGTCGGTTACACATTTAGCTATAATTCTAAGCTGATTAGTGCAAATATTTATTTAACCATAGCCAATTAATCAACCACTTGTTGCAAATATTTACTTAAAGTAACATAGCTATCAGGTATTTTGATTTTTCAATTATATTTTATAGCATCGTGGTGGGTTCAAAGCTTTAAATTTTGCCAATTAATGATCATTCATCTATATTCTTTAGTATTACCATTTGAAGCTTTTAATGATAATCATATGTAAGGTTTTTGATCCATGATTTGCATGCGTATTACTTTTCACGAAGTGTCATTGGAAATTAATATTGGAGTTAATGGAGAAAATAATGCAAGAGAGAACTCTAGTAGAAATAATCACCACTTTAGGTTGTATTTGGTTTGAAAGAAAAAAGGTAGAGAGAAGGGAATGGTAGGGAAACCTATACAAGGTTTCTATACATTCCCCTACCTTTCCCTTCATTTCCCTATTGTTTCTTTCAAACCAAACACAATCTTAAGGAATCCATTAAAGAGATAGAAGTAAGGTACAAGAACTCCTTAAAAAGTTAGGTTTCAATTTTGTTTAACTCAAATTCTACTTTTCCCTTATTAGACACATTATGTACTCTTTTGGTTCACATGATCCTAGAGCTCTAATCTATCTTATCCTCACCTATGTTTTTTTCTTAGGGCCTGCTTATTATTTGAATTTTGAAGGGGGGAGTTGGTCAATGGGATTTTGGTTCCCATTAACCAAGATACCCATATCATTTTTTCAGATTTATGTTGGGGTCCACAAAAAAATTATTTTCCCTAAGTATCACTTACATGGGTAAGTGATACTCATCTCCTAAGTGGATTAGGAACTTTCCCACCTTGGGGGAAAGTTGCCAACACTTGCATGAGACAAAATAGCCCCCTTTAATAATGGATTTTTATGGCTAAAATGGTTATTGTCTTATTTATTTGGAAAGTAAAACAGCATGGTTAAATGCACTTATTCGGGTAAGTATTTCCCAGGAAACACTTATTTGAGTAAGTGCATTTACTAGGATAAATAACTTTCCAAAAAGTGAACAAGGCCTTAAGTGTTTTGTTAAGACTCAAATACATGTACCTTATATATTCATTGAAGTAGATCAATAAAGACATCGAACAATTCATTCTTTTCTCATTATCTTTTATGGTATTAGAGTCATAGGTTGCCATTGCTAGAAAATGCCATTTCTAGCTCAAACTCCCCTGTTTCAAACTCTCAAACTCGATCTAGGCAATTGTAGGTTGGAAGCATAACCACCACAAATCTAAACTAGCTTGTCACTATAAAGCTGGATTGACCATACAACTAATATGCCCTAGAGGTCATAAGGGATACTAGTGTTAGATGGTTCATATCTGATTGGATATGCAGATGGGTTTGTGAGCTAGGGTCTGAGCTTGGTGAAAAGTTAAGTAACAAAAAAGAAATTAGGCTCTCAAAATGACTAAGGAAAAGATTCCTTCATTAGGGTCCTCAGTGCCTAATTATTGAGTAACAATAACCCCTTCCATGATTGTTCTTTATATGCTGTCAAGGTTTGAGTCTCAACCCGATGATGAATAAATGTGCAAAACTAGTTCCAAAAACTATACCCTATAGGGGCATACAAACACATTTAGGCATCAATACTGAATAGTATATTACACACTTAATAAATGTAGCTCTTAATTTTTGTGTGGTTGATGCTAAAGCATTTAAATGTGTGTTGAATAGGTTATAGTCAAAATATAGGCAAAAAATGGATGATCATCCAAACAAATCATGGATGAAGACACATTGGTAATCTTCATCCATTTTTTTTGTATTCCTATTGTGCTTAGGAAATTGTAAAAAAAAATATTTAGTAATAATAATAATAATAATAATAATAATGTTCTTGATGTGTTTTCCCTTAGTCTATCAGGTTGTTAGATAAATTTAGATTAGAGGTCTTGAAACTATTGGCATTAGCACTCGAGCATAGCACTGATAATTCACAACATCATATTAAATGCCCTTGCAATAAATGTTGCAATGTGAGGTTTCGGTCATGAAATGAGGTGGAGAATCATTGTATTAATTAGGGGATCATGGAAAACTATAGTGTCTAGACTGAATATGGTGAGGGAAGGCCATGTGTCAATCAAACCACATCAAAATCACATTTAGATACAACTGTAGGAGGTGGAGAAGATGTAAGGAAGATGCATGCTTGAGGATATTTACCCCATGTGCTTTGAGGATAACCACTAGAGAGATGC